GGTGCCTCGGAAAGCAAGTGTTTGGCAGGCCCAGGCTGGGGATTTGAACCCGCCACCTTAGGTGTATATGGCTGGTGCCTTAGCCGCTTGAGCCACAGGTGCCGAGACTCCCCTGTCATTTCTTTATGCAGGCTTTTTCTTACCTTTTTAGTCCATGTTTGGTCCCATCTTCATACACTTCCATAGTATTCTGAATTTCCCTTCTTGTGACACTCATCATCACTCATAATAACTTATTCAGCATCTGGCCTTCCTCATTAGAATGTACAGTCACAATGGCAGGGCCTTTTTCTGACTATCTCAACTTCCATCTCAAGCCAGGTACACACAATGCCTAGCTCACAGTAGATGAACAATAGAAATATGAAGAATGAATGAAAAACTATGAATGGTTTTCTTTTCTTTTTTTTTTTTTTTTGAGAGAGTCTCACTTTTGTCACCCCTGGTACAGTGCCATGGAGTCATAGCTCACAGCAACTTCAGACTCTTGGGCTCAAGCAATTCTCTTGCCTCAGCCTCTCAAGTAGCTGGGACTACTGGCACTGGTCACAAGGCCTGGTTATTTTTAGAGACCAGTCGCACTCTTGGTCAGGCTGGGGAATGGTTTTTATAATATTTAATTCTAACATTAGGAATAATCAAAGACATAGCTCTACTGGGAGAATTTCTAGGTTGATCAAATTTTAAGAAGATCATTTAAAGTTGATGTTAAAGATCGGCTCTTAACTTTTCCAGAGGAATGGTGTCTTAAATAAGCAACTCTCCATAATCAGCATTATGTTTCAGTTTATAATGACACTATATGAAATGCCTAATTGGAAAAAAAGTACAAAAATTAGAATACAATTTGTACAAAATAGCAAAAATGAGAATGCAATATTTCCTAAAAAATATTTGGAAATATTTTTGGAAAAATATATTTAGAAATATTTTTGGAAAAATATTTGGAAATATTTTTGAGGAAAAATATTTGTAGAAAAGGGTGTGTTTTCAGATGTATCACCTCCTCTATTCTTCAAAGATCGGCAAACAGTTGCACTGTCAGAAGATAAGTTTAATTGGAGTAATGATATAATAGCACATGTAATTTTTTGGGTTTTTTTGAGACAAAGTCTCAGGCTGTCGCCTTGGGTAGAGTGCCGTAGCGTCACAGCTTAAAGCAATCTCTAACTCTTGGGCTTAAGCGATTCTCTTGCCTCTCCCTCCCAAGTACCTGGGACCATAGGTACCCGCCACAACGCCCGGCTATTTTTTTGGTTGCAGCCGTCATTGTTGTTTGGCAGCCCGGGCTAGATTCAAACCCGCCAGCTCAGGTGTATGGGGCTGGCCCTTAGCCCCTTGAGCCACAGGCGCCGAGCTGCAGGCTAGTTTTTTGTTGCAGTTGTCGTTGTTTAGCAGGCTCGGGCCAGCTTCGAGCTGGGTATGTGGCCGGCGCCCTACCCACTGAGCTACGGGTGCCGCCAGCATGTGTAAGTTTAAATAAACCTTAGAAAATAAGGTTTATTTACGCAAGCCTTCAGCTAATAGTTACTGGAGACCATGTAATTTCATGAAAGTATTAAACATGGATCAGTTTTCATTTTAATGGCAACCAACTACAAAGTGTCATATTTTGATTATAGGACATTCGACCATAAAATTGGAAATGAAATCATTATCTATTCTCTTTTGTATTGGAAAGCAGCTGGAAAATAAATCATCTAAATTCTCTGCTTTGTATTACTTTATAAAGTCGCCGTGGCTATAGGATCAGTAGTGTTTTGAGGTTTTGGAATGCTCTCTAGCCAGTGTGTAGGAATTGCTGTAGGTTTGTATTCTACCAACACCTCCTTCAGGCACACGTGCTATAATGTTATTGTAGAGGCGATTGTTGCAGTTTGTATCCTGTCTTTTCTACAAAGTTGGGCTGATAAATTCAATAGAAATCAAAGCTTTGGCGTAAATTCCTGCAAAACCCATTTGGTTCCACGCAGGGGCGATTTCCTCCACGTTTAAGGTCTCAGTGAAGTGGAGACTGGTCAGAAGGTGACGCTTCCCTTCCTCTCTCAGTGGCTCTCGCTACTGCCCCCTGTTGCGGTGCCTCGGAAAGCAAGTTAAATTTTCCACAACATGGAGGCGGACAAATCTAAGAAGACTACAATTCCCGTCATGCCTCACTGAAGATGCCGCCGACGTGCCGTAGCGGTTACTCATCCTTCTCAGTACCTTCTTCCACTTCCTGGACAGCGGGGCTTGAGGCCCAGCGGGCGCGTGCACGCAGTGATTCGTGGCCGAGAGCAGGCGCTGGGGCGCTGAGCCGACAGCGACGTGTGGCGTCACATGACGTGAGGTTTCTCGTGCGCGCCCTAGAGCGCGTCCTAGGGGGGCTGCTGTCGGGCGTGCGCGCTTGTGCGGAGCCGGAGGCGGGGGCCGGACCAGCACGGGTTGCGGAGCCCGACGAAGACGGAAGGCGGGGCCAGCTCCGCGACCGCGGCGACTACATACAGAGAGAGCGCCCGGGCCCAAGGGGAGCGATGCTGTGGTTTCAGGGCGCCATTCCTGCCGCCATCGCGACGGCCAAGAGGAGCGGCGCGGTCTTCGTGGTGTTCGTGGCAGGTGAAGAGAGCAGAGGCCCGAGATGCGGCCAGTATACTCCTCTCTGGCCTACCTTTACTCTCAGCGTCTGCCCTTACAGAGACGCGGGCATCTCTTGGCTTACGCTGCTGGGGCTGTCCTTAATACCCTGCGCCCCAGGAACATCTTCAACCCCGCCGCCAAAGTCCCCACAGAGGTCATGCTGACCCTCAACACCCAGCTCCTTCTGGTTCCAGGCGCCCCCAGCCTTTTCTAAATGCACCGAGAGGCCCGGGCTGCCTGCCCTTGGCTTCTCAGCGCCTCCCGGGTCCGTTTGGGGTACAGCGGGCCCAGCCCCCACGGTCCGCCTCTCCTGGCTTCCAGGCTGGAGGCGACGTCTGGTCCTGGTCTCCGGGGTGGTCTGAGCTCAGCCGACACTGCCCTGCGCGGGGACACGGCGAACAGGCCCCAGCGGCCCAGTCCCACTCAACCCCTCCGAGCCGCGCACCTGGGGAGTGGCCGCTGGCAGGTCTCCACCACCCCGGCGCCCCTTTTAGTCTCCAGGAGCACCCCTCTTCGAGATGCTTCAACTCCCGTTTAGTTACTGAGGTTTAGTTGGGGGTAGGAACGGTCCACTGGGCAAGTAGTTTGGTTTGTAGTTAGTTGCGGGCTGTCAGGAAGAAAGCTGTGTCATCGATAAGCAACAAAGAGAAACCACTTTGTTCACGGTTCACGGTTACTGCTGTTAGGACGTTTCTGAAACATAAACTTTTTTTTTTTTTTAATGGCAGCGTTGGAAGGAAGTCTAATTTGAAATAATTACTGTGTTGCAAGTTGATTTTCTTTTTTTAGCATTAGTTTTAAAAGGAGTAGACGTTCAGTTCTTGGTTCTTTGCTTTATTATTTTCCTAGCCTAAAGTATACATAAATCGAGAATGTGTACTAATTCATTTACTCACTGTTTCTCTAAGTTGTTTTGCTTCACGTTCTCCTGTTTTAATACGGAAATCTTGTAGATTTACAGGAAACCTCCTGCCTTTGTGGTTTTGCTCATTCTTATTGCATGGATCACATCAGTGTTTGTGGCTAGTCTTAATTTGAGGTGTATTTCTTAACTTTTTATGTTTTATAACGGTTTACTTATAATTCCTCCACGTCTTTTAATAGCTCTACAGTGTACAATGAATGGCTGAAATGTGAATTTTATTTAGCATTAAACTTGAAGTTTTTTTATGCTGAATTTTTTAGTTCAATGCTATTTCTTAGACGAGCTTGAGGAGTAGATTCTCTTATGCTGTTTTGGGGTTGTTACATAAAGAAATTACTGCTGTAATCCTGTAAGGAAGAAAGTGGATGAAAAACGAAAGGAAAATTAAATGATACTACTTACTAAGAGTGCAATAATACATTTATGGCATTTTATTTTATTTTATTTTTTTGAGACGGAGTCTCACTTTGTCACCCTTGATAGAGTGTTGTGGCATCATAGCTCACAGCAACCTCAAACTCTTGGGCTTAAGTGATTCTTTTGCCTCAGCCTCCCAAGTTGCTGGGACTAGAGGTGCCCGCCACCACGCCACCTGTTTTTAGAGAGGTTTCACTCTGGCTCAGACTGGTCTCCAACCTGTGAGCTTAGGCAATCCACTGCCTTGGCCTCCCAAGTGCTGGGATTACAGGAGTAAGCCATGGTACCCGGCGTTTATGGCATTTTAAATTGTTTTTCACCTAAAATCTTAGTTAATTCTTTTGCTAAGTAGACAAATTTTATCATCCCCATTTTGTAGACGAGGAATTTAGGTTCACAGTTATAAAGTAACTTGCACTAGGGTTACAAAAAGGATTTACATCTTGGTCAACTTTTTCTTTTCTTTTCTTTTCTTTTCTTTTTTTGGGGGGGGCAGGTTTTTTTTGGCCAGGGCTGGGTTTGAACCCACCACCTCTGGCATATGGGGCTAGTGCCTTACTCCTTTGAGCTACAGGCACCGCCCCTTGGTCAACTTTTTAGCAGCTTAAAAAAAAGCTTTTTCCTTTTGTTTCTTGAGGGGAAGTAAATGAACAATTGTAGGCTGTTTATTGGTGACTTAAAATGGCATAGAAATCAGGAAATCTAGAATTAGGGTAGTCATGTTTTTTTTGTTTTTTTTTT